GTCGTAATTGACCGTTTAGCTGGATGGAATAGGGGAGGTAGCCCTCCCAAATACAGGGGGATTATCATGGGTCTAGGGGGTTGCAGCTCACTTCCTAGGCAAGACCCCAGATAATCTCATACCCATGCCGAGGTAGCCACTCGTAAGGCGCCAGTCCAACACAGGTTAGCTTAAAAGGAACTCTATGGGTTTAAATAAAAGGTCTAGGAACCAAAGAGGACCAAAGGGATAAGTTCCAAGAGAGAAAGCCCTAATGAGGTAAGGCCCGATTTCAGTTGTTCTAGAGCCAAAGGAAAGCCCGTGATCGTCTGCTAAGTTTAGGGTGCGGTAAGAGCCTACAAGTAGGTGGCTTACTGAGTATAATTTTTATACTCATTCCCTTTATACTTTTTTTTTTCAGGTACGTGAGGCGTCGAGTCAAGAGAGGGCGCGTCGATCGATGTGGGTTGTCACAGAGGAAGCGTGTCCCGGGGCGTCAGTCTAGTTTACTAAATAGTACACTTTGTCTCACATGTTCCTTTCCTTGTTTTTCTTTTACCTAGGCACTTATGTCCTTCTAATAAAGATATGTTTTTCTTTTGAAACAAATGATTTCCTTGAATTTCTCGTTTATGCATTACATGTCATACAATGTTAGTCACGGCTTAATTTGGGGTCGTGACACTCTCAAACAGTCAGTTCTGTCCACGGACAGGTACGATGAGTTCCGATCAATTGCCAGATGTCCACTGCCGCCGCGGAATTATTCGGCCTCCGCCGTGGACTTGAGGTGGGTTGGCGTGGAAGCCGATGACCATTGGTTGGTCAGAAATAGGCATCCAGTTGCCTCGTGGGAGAGGGTGGTTTATGAGGCAGCTATTGACGGTGATACGGTTGTGGTGTTTGCCAAGGGACTAAATCTCCGACCACACAAGGAATCAAATCCGACCGAATTCAGCTGCCACTTTAGACTGAGAAATTCCAACAATAACGGAGATTATGTGCTTACCACAAAGGCAGTAACTGCAGCTCAAGAAATTATCAGGTGCTCCTTGCCGGCTGGTGTGTCGAGCACTTTAGACAAGGAAAAGGGAATTCGGGTTACTGTGGGCCGTGGCAGTGTCAATACGAAAGCCCACCTTCAGGTGACTCTGCCCTCAGTGGCCAGACTCTCCATCTCCAAGCTGAATGAGCTGCAAAGAAATCAAGAAAAACATGAGCTTTGTGTGTGCACAATGGTGTGGAATCAAGCAGCAGCACTTCGTGAGTGGATTATGTACCACGCTTGGCTTGGGGTAGGGCGCTGGTTTATCTACGACAACAATAGTGATGATGACATTGAAGAAGTCGTTAGAGAGCTCAACCTGGAAAACTACAATATCAGTAGGCTGACCTGGCCATGGATTAAAACCCAAGAAGCAGGCTTCTCACACTGTGCTTTGAGAGCTAGAGATGAATGCAAGTGGGTCGGTTTCTTTGATGTTGATGAGTTTTTCTACTTTCCTTCAAAGTATCGCCGTCAGCAAGCATACCATACTGCCGGCCGCAATGCCCTTCATTCACTCATTGCTAACTCATCTGCTTCAACCTCCAATTCAACTACCATTGCAGAGATTAGAACGGCCTGCCATAGCTTCGGACCATCAGGTTTAACATCATATCCACCGCAGGGGGTGACAATAGGGTACACTTGCCGGCTCCAGAGTCCCGAGAGGCACAAATCGTTTGTCCGGCCAGACTTGCTTGACCCAACACTTCTCAATGTCGTTCATCACTTTAGGTTGAAACGAGGATCTGGGTTTTTTGACGTACCAAAAAGCAATGCTGTCATAAACCATTACAAGTATCAAGTGTGGGAAACTTTTAGATCTAAATTTTTCAGAAGAGTAGCTACCTATGTTGTTGACTGGCAGGAGGCACAGAATGAAGGATCGAAGGATAGAGCACCTGGGCTTGGGACAGAGGCAATCGAACCACCCAATTGGAGGTTACAGTTCTGTGAAGTTTGGGACACTGGACTGCGAGACTTTGTCCAGACTTTGTTCTCTGATCCTTTGACAGGATACCTACCGTGGGAAAAAGCTTCTGGTTAACAACTCTTGGCAACCTGCAGCTTAGGGACCTGTACACAGTAATCATACAGCAAGCAATTGAATTTTTTGTTTTTTGCTACAAAAAGAATGTTCATCGATTAATTTTTTACTCCATGGATATGATACTGGTTTCGTTACAGATTTTTAACTTACACTTTTCAGATGTTGGAATGAAATTCTTTCTGATTCATTCTTCAAATTTGAATATAACATTTGCTGTCTGCTATGTCACACATCTTGAGAGAAATGCAGTCAGCATTACCACAGACAAAGAAAATGCATTAGAAAAAAAAAAGGAATGAACCAGGCATTACCACCAATCAGTGAATATACCTAGAGTCAATGGTCGAAAAAGGAGAAGCTTTTGCATTAATGATGTATCGACTATACATATAAATCAACTACTTAGTTGAGTTGCTTCGCCTGCCTTTCCAGGCGTCAATGTTATTTCTCTTCCACCCAATGGTTTAAAAACATTGGAAATAAATAAAAGGTACAACCTAATAACCATTTTGTGTTGTCCATCAACACTTCAGTCCCCTCTTGAGCTCAATTTTGCCGCTGGTTGCAAATTATTTGAATATTTCAACAGCGTAGCATCCAGCTTCTCTCCAACTAGTGAAATCCATGCCTGTGAACATTTTAATTCTCAAGCTGGATATTGTAATTATACCGCAGAAAGAAAGACCATCGCAATCAATATGCAGAAATATGTACAATGGCCGAGGGGAAGTGTTCTAGGTAGAGAAGCTGGAATTGGAGATTATGGCAAACAGATATGTAGTTCTATTTATTCACACTGATTAACAGGTAGAACAATATAGAGGACCAAGTTTTGACAAGTATCCCATTGAGAGAAAAAAATCCACGAATATTAACAAGTCGCATTAAGAAAGAGCCAAGAGGCTTAAGAACGAGTACCTGATCAGAGGTTGTGAAACCCCTGATAGTGTTGCCACCAATTATAGCAATACCCTTCTCCCCAAGTGGTTGCAAGATCACAGCCTAGAATAGCAGGTTTGTCTTAGAAAGCAGTGGTTTCAATTTACTTCGAAAACCGGCCTATCTAACACGAGTAAGATATAGTGTGCACAAACACAGTTACAATTTCACGTTGTTCTGCATTCATTTGTATGTATATGTAGCAGTACAAACTGAGTCAAAATGGATTCTTTTAAATATCCCCCAAACATGCAGTGATGCTGATGAGATTGAAGGCCGAAATTACCTCATTGAATTTCTTACAATAGCAAAGACTACCTAAGGATAGGAGAGAGAGATGCCGGCGGCATTGAAAGGTGGTAAAACACAACTTAACTGTTTTCATAAAGCTATTTTTCCATCCTTTGTTTTCATGATTTATTATCTTTAGTTAATCTCTTTCACTTTTTTTATATAAGAAAAATTAACTACTACTCCTTCACCAATACAGGCTGGTGAGCAAGGGAACTCAAGTACACAATAACAAAATTATTTTTTAGAAACACTACGACAGACCAGCAACAATCTCTTAGATTCTATAACAAATTACCAAGTTTTCAGGCGTTGAATTGACCACCGCCTTCCAAATAAGGAAGCCCATAAGTAAACAGGTGAAGAGTAAAATCCTATTTAATTGTAGAACCATAAAAGTTACAAATCAAATTGAAAGTTTCATCACATTCTTTCCTACTTTGCCAAGTAGCAGTGTCTGGTTTCAGTGAAGAAGAAGAGTCTCTATTTAGCCAGTAGGCAGGGTAAAGAACTCCCAAGTTTCTGAAAGAGAATATGTGGGAACGTAATAGCTAATTATATATATAACTAAAATCCCAATTATTCTTCAGCTTCATTTGCACTCTAAACTATAATCAGTCATGCATAGAGTTCATTTATTCCCGAAAGATAAGAGAAAAAGGAACAAATCTAACAACCCTTAATATCGAAGTACCTGAGTATTTGAGGGAAGAAATGGCAGCTCCGACTTCCCTGGATAAAGAGAAAGATTGGCCAAGTAGCTCTCTGCAAATATAGGGAAGATGGTTTCTCAAAAACGAATAGTGACAGATATTTACAATTGCACGTCAATCAAGTAGTACATTGTGTGATGGTCTCTGTGAACAAGTCGTTTATTACTCACGAGCTTGGGATTTGAGAATTCCCTTATAGAGCGATCCCTGCATCAGTTTACTAGCTTCAACATGTTCGGCCTCCCCATCACCCTCAGCTGATTCAGCAGCAAAACCAACTTGAAATATACACATACCATCGTAGACAACAACCAGAGACCTGCAGCATGTCACTTCTGACAGAGACTTCCATACCCTAAGAATAGGCAGCAAAAAGTAGCCATTAACCCCCTAGTCGAGGATTTTTCCTATTTCCTCTAAGAATCCTTAGCTTCAAATATCTAAAGTAGTTTATCAGATACATATTGGCATACGAAGTTAGCTTTCCCTGTCACTAGACATTCCCATGAACATGTGACAATGAGGGTAACCAAAATGACATGGATTATAAAATTCCATAGGATAATAGGAAAACTAATAGATAAAAAGTCATAATTCTCAAGCACCATATCAAGTTTCACTTATCAATATTCATTAACCAAAACAAACAAAGCACCCCTATCGAAAGTGATTTTCAATGATCTTAACCGGCTTCAATACTTGATAATATTCACAGTTTCAAATTATCAAAGAAGAAAATTATATAAAGTATTTACCATAACAACTCGGATGTTACAAGATCAGGGAGACTGGAGCATATCCTCTCACATTCTACTCCTTGTGGATTCACCTGATATGGAAAATGAAAGTAGGGGGAAAAAATAAGAATAGAACAGGAATCTCCTGATAGAGAGGAAAGGTTGAGCATGGAAATCTTATCGTAAACCCATACCGGTGTTATAGATTTCGGCCTGATCGACAGCCATACCAGACCAGTCAAGACATTTGTGACGGCTAGTCCAAGGGTTAATAGATCAGCTCTTGACTGTGAACTGCCGAAATTGATAATAGTTTATTACTATAAATAGAGCAACTAATTACGTGAAGTATAGTTGCAGAATAATGCCGCTAAAATAGGAAAACGCCATTATCGACGAAGTTATCGAAGATGGGATTTCCATCCGAGTAAGCAATACAAATTGACTGGTGAAAATAAACAGCATTCGATAGATTAATTGAACTTAACGAACCTGCTGGCATCGGCGACGGGAGCAATGCCTGAAACGGCGCGGTTAAAGAGGACGACCAATAGAGAAATTCCACCGACGTAAATGGGCAAACTCCGAACGGCATCGTTGTTCTTGGATACCCATTCGGCCACCCAATCCGTTGAAGGCTTCGGCCCTCTGTAACTTGCTTGCGAATTCAAGGAAGAAGCCCTTATGATACGCGGGAAAGAGCGACGAACGGGACAGAGAGTGCACTTCAAACTAGAACTCCATAGAATTGGAGTGACGGGGAAGAAAATTCCCGCTTCCATCGAAACCGAGTGAAATGATACTTACTTCAAGAATGAAGTCCGTAAGGATAATTTGCCGGGATTTGGACTCCAACCTGGGCCATCCGCTGCCTACAAAATACATCATACCCTCCCATGAGGCCTATAAAAACCTCTACACCACCCCTTTAATTGACGCTCAACTTCTTCTCTAGAGTTTTCGAACAAACTATATCATTTGTTCGACACTAGAGTCACTTTTGACTACACTTACGAAGTTCACAGCTTGTTTCTATTGACATTACTAAGTTAAAAGCATCGCTCTGATAGCATGTTAGAAATTACAACCCTTTGCAATAGTGCAATAGCATGATATTGTCCACTTTGAGCATTAGCTCTCTTGACTTTGTTTTTTGTCTTCCCAAAATGCTTAGCACTAATGAAAATGTATTTTTTTTATATTTTTTATAAACTCATGGTCAACCTCTTAATTAGCAAATATGAGACTCCTCTCCCAACAATTCTCAACATTCACTATCATATCCTCGAAAACTTGTTAATGGCCTTTGTGTTCATGCAAATTTGAAGAAGAGCAAAATATTGAACCTTGAAGAAGAACCATGTTCTCGTCGTACAGCCCATTAGTTGCATGGGAACGGGTTGGGTTGCGCCCCCCTTATATGGGCTTGGGAGGTACTCAACACACCTCTAGGTTAGATATCATGTAATCTCAGATAGCCATGCAGAGGTAGCGCCTCATAGAGAGATACTGGTCATATCAGCTCGGTGTAAGGAACCTTTAGGTATCTAATGAAAGGACGATGAACCGCTAAAGCCTAAGGGGGCAAGCCCCAAGGGACTAAGATTAGAACCAGATGTCATAGAACCGAATTAGGAGACCGTGGAAACCTGTTAAGTTAGAATGTGAAGAGAACCTACAAGTAGATGACTTACCGAGTATAACTTTTATACTTGTGAATGTTTGCTGAATCACCGCACCTAAATGGGGTGAGAGTTCTCTTATTTATAATCATTTTCAGGATACAGAAATATGGTAAATTACAAATATTATGGAAATAGTAATAAAAGGAAAGAATAATAAATAAATGCAATATATTTGCCTTTAATAAGAGGGCAAATATGGTAACCCGTAATGTAAGGCAAATATCTAGATATTTGCCTTATAGTGAACGGTCAACTATCCTTAACACCCCCCGCAAGCTGAGCGTCGGATTTGAACGAACGTAAAGCTTGGATCTGAAAAATTCAAAGAGAGGTCGAGAAATATTCTTTGTGAAGATGTCAGCAACTTGGAGATGAGAGGGTACATATTGTGTGCGAAGTTTGCCAGCGATAACAAGTTCTCGAAGGAAATGATAATCTAGTTCAACATGTTTGACCCGCTTGTGAGAAACGGGATTAGAGCTCAAAAAAATAGCACTTTTGTTGTCACATAAGAGTAAGGGCTGCTTTGAAATAGGGACCTTGAGGTCATGCAAAAGATGCGTAACCCAAAGAAGTTCAGCAGCGGTTGTGGCAAGAGCACGATACTCAGATTCACAGCTGGAGCGTGAGACAGTAGGTTGTTTTTTGGCACTCCAAGAAACCAGATTGTTACCAAGATAAATAGAATAGCCGGATGTAGAACGACGAGTATCGGGACAACCAGCCCAGTCAGCATCCGAATAAGCGACTAGCGTACTAGGAACAGTGGATGGACGAAAGGTAAGACCAAAGTGGAGTGTTCCTTTGACATAGCGAAGAATACGTTTGACA